AAAGACGTTAAGAACCGCAATTACTGAAACCTAGTTCAAAGCCAATTGTAACTTATGAATAAATCCTGTTTCTCCTGACTAAAGTATCAGTCAGTACACCTTCAACATATTTAGTGTAAAGACGTAATAAGCAGTATGAGAAAAGCATAACATTGTGTATATCCACAGGGTGAAAGACCATGAGTATGTAACTGTATAGCTGATTGTTTTATTTACAACAAAATCTATGTTAGTACCAATAAACAAAATATTCAAAATCTCATTACGTGTTAAATTGATAACCTTTAGGAATTAATTTATCCAAAGGATAATTTTACTTGGATCGTATTTAAATTCACTGCCACTATAAGAGGGGGTGGACAGGGGGTACCCTTCTCCCACCTCCCGCCCCCTATCTCCCACCTCCCACTTTTAGATTTTTTTTCTCTCCCACCTATTTTTTGTCTCCCACCTCCCGCCCCCCTCCCCACCTCCCACCTCCCTCAAAAGCTGTCCACCCCCTCCTATAAACATCATCATATGATATCCCGTTTGTAATAAGGCTTATACGTGTACAGCCAAAATTTTAAATTAAATATTCGTATCTATGAAAGAATTTAGTAAAGGTTTTAAGTAATTTGTTGTAACTATAAATCACTGACTTTATAATCTATCAGTTATGCATAGATTAATTTCATTGTAATTTAAAAATATCACTAAAAACGCGGACACAGCGAACGAGTTTGAAATTATGAACACGGCATACAGAAGAAACCAAAGGGACATCACTTCCAAAAAAGGGAAAATTAACAATAGGGAACGAAAAAAAGTCTTTTTGTCGTTTATTTTGTATCGGAGTTTTCTGCGTGAAATTGAAATATCCAAAAATAGAAAGGGATAGTTATTGTTGTTATGTTAGAATTTCTTTAAGTATGTTTCCTTGTGTAAGTTTCCGCAAGAATTCTTCACGATTATTTAAAGCAAAAACATCATCAAGACTTTACTGATTTTGGTCATAATAAAACAGGAGCTGAACTGCTTATTGGTGCATATGCATACCTCATTTGTCGAAATATAATTACATAGATGTTGTACAGGAGAAAACTTACAGCTTTGTTGTTCTCGTCGCAGGTTTATGTAATATCAAATCAAATATTTGTGTATGTGTGTGTAATTATTGTTTAACCAAACATTGAATTGCAGTAACGTTACCCCCTTAAATCGGTGCTCCGCAAAATTAACTGCTTGGACTGCCAATTTATAATGATGATAATAATGGGAAGAATATTTTATTCCAATTAAAGGCATATGTACTTGGAGCAGGATAAATATTTTTAGCCCTCTCCCTTTTTCTAAAATCCGTGTTGAGGCCGATCACAAACATGGCGTCGTTTAGTCTAAATGACAGAATGCAGATTTGATAGAATGTGAGCTGTGTGATAAACGTTTTTATGGTATGGCAGACTTAGTAGGACATCCCTGTATGGACGATAAGCTGGATAAATATAAGAAATACAAGGACAATAACAGTAAGGGGACAACCATTAGATATTCTGGGGAAGGGGGGACAGGAGGACTTTTGCGGATTTATTACTCATTTTAATCTGTCGCTAAGCATGCCTATTTTTTAACTCTTACCAGGCCACCATATTCATATTCAAAATCCTCCTGTCCCCCACCCCACCCCCAAAAAGTAAATATCAAATGGTTTTCCCCTTATTTAACACGAGTTTAAATTGGTTGATTGTTGGTTTGTTATTTTTAACGTCCAGTGACAAATATTTCATGCATGTTTAGGAAAACACGAGTTTAAAAGTCAGGTATATTATTAAGTCGGTGCCTGTATTCAAAAAGAACTTAAAAACTCACTTTTTTCGACAAGCATTTTTAATCCCTTAAATTCGTTTCTGTGATACATTGTGCCATAGACGTTAGCCTGCTTTTGATTTATCGAACCTTTCTTTTAACTGGAGATATGTTTCATTTATAATATGTACATTGTATGTTTTTAGTAGCACACATATTTTTCATTTCAGTAATTATATTTTTACATGGTAATATTCCTTTTTCATCTTTTGAATACGTTTTCAAATTTTTAACTTATATTTGATATTTTTTAATAGCAATCTTATTTTAGACTTTTTTGGCTATTTATTTTACCAACTTTATTCAGTATAATTTTATTTTGATTCATTGATATATATATTCCACTTTTTTGTAAAAATTTCCACATTATTAATCCTTTTATCTAGAAAAGTTTTAACACTTAAATATTTATTTTGTGTGTTCATGTTTTATATTTTTATCACTGTCTGTGTGTATATTTCGTTTAACATGTGATGTAAAGCGCTTTGAGTAATATTGTTTTAGATTTAGCGCTATAGAAAAATTGTAATAATAATAATAATAATAATAATAATAATAATAATAATAATAATAATAATAATAATAATAATAAAAATAAGGAGATGTGGTATGATTGTCAATGAGGCAACTATCCACCGGAGCTCGAATGAAGTGGATGTAAGCAATTATAGGCAACCGTATGGCCCTCAACAATGAGAAAAACCCATACGGTATAGTCGGCTATAAAAGGCCCCGACATGCAAAAATGTGAAACAATTCAAACGAAAAAACTAACGGCCTAATTATATATAACAAAACAATTTACAAAAAATCAAATATGAGTCGACAGACATGAACCAATGACAACCACTGAACAACAGGCTCCTGATTGTGACAGGCACATAAAGAATATGGCAGGGTTATACATGTTTGTGAGCGCCCAACCCTCCCCTAAACTGGGATAGTGGTGTAACAGTACAACAGAAGAAAAAAAAAATGTAAAAATCAGTTGCAATTGGATTAACTCAAAAGATCGGTACGAGACACAAAAAACAACTAACATTAAGACAATAGACACAAAGCACCAAAATAAGAGTATTTGCAGTTACTGAAAGTTTGTTCGAAGCCAATTACAACAAATAAATAAATCTTGTTCTCCCAGACTAAAGTATCAATCAGTACACAACCAACGGAATTTGTCATAAACAGTCTGACCTTGTATCTCCCCCTAGCCGTGTATAACCTTGAATACATATACAGTTAAGGTTCTCAGAAGGTGGTGGTCCAAAGGTTTTAACCATCGAAATTTTGCAATAGAAATGATAGCTAGAACCAGCAAATTTTCTTCAAGGACCACCAGGGAAAACAGATTTTGATAACTCTGCGATATCTGTTATATACAAAAATAATCCAGTTTGGTTACTTTAAAAAAATTTGATAGACAAGATGTCCTTTTCGATCATATACCAGACAAACACTGACAAATTCTTTACAGTTTAAGATCATTCATGAAAATCAAATGGTCGGAGCTTTAAGCCGGATTTGTTTAGCAAAATTGAGTTAGGAAAGCATAAAGAAAAAAATGTTACGAACACATCGATTTCTTCTAACCAATTTTCTTTATTTTAACATTTATTGTATAATTACATCAATGCCGAAACAGAGCACTCTGTATACAGTCATGTCTACCGAATGAACTGACGTATCTTAATTTTCTCAGTAATAAATCATCGTAAACTTCGTTTATGTCATCCAACATAAAAAAAAATCTGCTATATTCGACGGCAAATTGATTTTTTGTTTTATTGCTTCTTCTACAGAATATCTCCAGAAGAGGTCCAGATTCTTTTTTTTGTACTCACTTCACCAGAAGACATTCTGGAGGTGTACAGAATAGACCAATAAAACACGCCTCTGGGAATTGATAGTAAATAGTAAACACATGTCATTTCTAGTATATTTTTTTTAACATATCACAGAAAAAGCGAAAATAATTGAAATTAAATGAAAATAAAAACGGATTTTAGAAAAAAAGGGGGAGGGCTAAAACAAATTGTCCTGTCCCCAAGTACCTATGATTAAGGGCACCGAAGAACATAACTATGTAACATGACAATAACATCAATAAAAGAAAATCGAAAGATACCAACGGGATAATCAAACTCAAACTCCGAAAAGTCAAAAACGAACTAACTGAATGCAAGGATTTGTATAGTCTATACAAATCCTTGCTGAATGTCATGGCAAAAAAACGAAAAACGACCAAAAGACTAAACAACTGTACACAAAAGACGACATAAAAAACTAAAGACTGAGCAACACGAACCTCAACAAAAACCGGGGTGATCTCATGTGCTCCGTGAAAGAATAAAGCAGATCCTGCTCCACAGGTGGCACTCGTCTTCGGTTGCTCATGCAAGTACAAAGCCGGTGATAAGTCTAAGACGGTATGTCACATTCGAGGAGAACAGTACGGATTGTGGAGACGATGCAATTGTAACATAAACAGATATTTTATAACGGCCAACCATGCAACTCATGATGTAAAATATTCAACTTCACCACTTGGAACTCTTGGTTTAATAGCTTTCTTGGAAGCAGCAACCCTCTACTAAGGAAATCATGATAATAATTGCAGATTTGGTAATAAAAAAATATTTCCGCAATTTATAAAAACTAAAAGCTTTTCAGTAAGGATTTCTAGTACAGTTCACTTTGAGCATAACTAAATGAGCCAGATGAGCTTAACATGCTTAAGTAAGCCCAGTTTCTTGTATTTTGATACAACGTGATTACAGGTTTATATTCTGGAATGTCACGGAATTTCTGTTTATGATGTCTGTTGTCTCTTCAGAGCTTATGTTTGTAATTGTGTTGTACTTGTACCGACTTTAAATAAAGCGTTATGTCTCATGTATGTTTTATGCCAGTTTTGTTGAAAAACAAAATATTTGTGTTGTGGATGTTCACATAGTACCAATCTGTTTCTTCTTCTTCTTCCTGTATCTTCCTCCAGTGGTCAGGAGCACATCAATTTGAGAATACGGAATATTATATAACTTTAACGGATATTATTTTTTTATTAGTATTTTTTAATATATATCAGCAGTGTGTTTTAAATAAGGAAAATTCAAAACTACCGGCAAAGGGCATGACAACGCCGATTTAGAAATTTATACACACTCCGGTTGAAATTCAGAACGTCACCCAGAAGATCAGACAACGATTAAATAAGTAAATACTGCATTTGGATTACACACAGTAAATATAGTTCTTAATAGGTAAAATGAGTTTAAAATTCCTAATTCCGTGTGGGAATTGGATGAAACAATTGATTAATTGTTATAGACACCTGTGCCTGTGGCTGTGACTGTGTTATTGCAAGATACAGACCCCATGCTGTAAGACAGTCAAATCGGAAGCAAGTCAACTCGCACCATTGCAAACTCGTACAATGTTAACTCGTACCACTAAAAGTCAACTCGTACTAATGTTAACTAGTACCTACCATTGCGATCTCATACCCCATTGGCATTAGAAATAAGCTTGTTTGCTTTCATGGGTTATCCTTGGGTTAAGCAGTCAGGGGAATTACTGAAATAAGTGATTTATGAAATGGGTCTGTCTTTTTACCACCGAACACCACCGCACACCGCCGAACACCCAAAAAGACCACTAACCCTTAAGAAAAACAGTAATGTTACACAGTCAGGGGACTTACTTAAATGAGTGATTTTCTAAATCACTGATTCAAGTAACATTATGTCCATAAAGGTTGGAAGTAAGAGTTGTCTTTCTTTAATAATCACCTATTTAAGTAGTACAAATTAATCACTAGACTTAGTGATTTAATTTTATTGTAGCTTTAAATATAGAATACTAATGATCCAGGGACTAATTATGTTGTTAAAATTATCAGAACCAACATCTGTGTTGATAGGATGACCAGGTCATGTTAGGTGATGACCTTGTACTAAATCTAGGATAATGACATAAAAATCACTTGTTTAAGTATCATACCTCAATTTCCTTCCAAAAATCACTTCTTTAAGTATCATTATTTTAATAACCCCCACTAATTTCAACACCCCCGAACAGTGAAATTTTTATCGCGAACAGTAGAATTTTATTACATAATCTATAAGATGAAACCTTGAACTTAACAGGAAAAATACTCCCACTGCTGGGAAAAATCTGTTAAGAAAGTATCAGTTCATTATGTAAAGCCATTTTTATAGCATTTTTTCAACTAAAATAGAATTTGCAGCTAAATGATTGCATCAAAGGCATAAACCTTGCTGCTTAAAAGAAGCAAAAAATTCATTTTTTTCAATTTTACTAATGAAAAGATATTATCTAAACGCTATGTGTTTAAAATTTTGGTAAAACTACAAAATCACAATTTGTGACAAAACTTCGAATTTGCTACTTAAATAAGTGATTTAAAAATCACTTATTTCAATAAGTCCCCTGACTGTTACACAATAAAACAATAAAATCGATTAAATTACATAAAATTTATTCCTATTCTCATGTTTTCCCATTTTTATGTGCATAAGTGATGTTAAAGTTGAGAATCAAAAATTAAAAAAAAACGCTTCCGGATCCAGCAATAATTTTCTGGATTTACATTGTCTGTATTTCATTGTATATTATCTTATGGTCTTTACTTATCAATTATTAGAAATGAATTGTTCAAATAAGTTAAAACATTTTATTTAATGTGAAATTATCACAATAATTATATTTAAAAAATGTTAGACTTGAAAGTGTACTGTTCTGACAACAGCCCTGTGATAGATCCGTGTTTTTACTCGCTTGGCTTTATAATAATTAATAACTATATTTCTGATCTAATTTTCTATTCTACAAACTACATATATACATTTACTCTACAAATCTACAACTCCACACTGTTTGGCTACACGTGCTGTCCTTATCTATAAAATCATGAATATTCATCAGCTATGTAGGCGTGTCAAAATCGCATCATACATGTACACGATAATGACCAGCCAGTACACACTGTATTATGATTTCATTAACCAGTATTGAAAAGATAAATATAACATCCCCGCCCACAAATTAGAAATTTTTAAAAATTTCTTACTGGTAAATGAAATCTATATATAAAAATTATGATTATAAAAAAAATCAATCTGAAACAATCTATTATATGCAAATAAATTGTACTTTAATATACACACATTAAAAACAAAACCAAAAGTTCTCATTAAAATACTATGTTTTAAATTTAGTAACTGCGAAATTTGGTAATCTAAAATAAAAAACAAAAAATATAAAAGAATTAGAATAAAAGATTCTTTTTCTTTGTTAAAATATGCAGTTAAAAAGAGTATTATGTCAAAATGTAAATGAAAAGAGAAAACAATAAAACATTTTTCAATTAGAATCGATGATCATGGTTTAAACTTAATGACCAGTGTAATTAACTTTAACAGTTTTATTTTCAATTCTTGAAACGGAAATTCTGTTTATCTGATTTGTCAAAATGACAATTTTACATTTCATTTCAGGTGACAACAGGGAACCATGATGAAATACTGCGGGGACCAGTTAAACATTACAGACATATGGATTGATGAGGGCATTAATCAGTGTTTCTTGGATACTGTGACCTCTGGTTTACTGTTTGTGTTCATGTTGATCTTTGGTTGTTTACAGTGTTCAATGTTCAGAAAATATTCTACACCAATAGATACAAATACCAAGAAAGGGACATTAGGATTCACATTTCAGGTATGTACACACTAAGAAAGGGACATTAGGATTCACATTTCAGGTATATACACACTAAGAAAGGGACATTAGGATTCACATTTCAGGTATGTACAAACACCAGAAGAGGGACATTATGATTTACATTTCAGGTATGTACAAACAGAAAATATTCCCACTGAGTAGATAGAAAAACCAGAAAACGAACAAGTAATTTATATTCTAGACATAGCAGTTTCAAAACGTGTAGAAAATAAAAGCCTTATGATAAGTTTTAACATTTGTTATACATGTATACTGCCAGCACTGGAAACATGTGATCAATCTACTTTTTCACTCTATGGTAATTGTATTTGTTTTTCAGGTTTTGTTTTCATTGATATTAGCTACAGAACCAGTAATTCATGCAGTTCTACAAGACACAGCCATATTTCCTCAGAAAGTTTATGGCTACCAGATACTAACAATGATAGCTTTGTTCTTAGCCTGGTGTGGTTCTATTAGACTCTTGTTTCTGGAGAGGAACAAAGCCTTGCCCACCATTCCAACAAGAGGACATGGATTAGTTCTACTGATGTTGTGGACTCTTGCTCTTATTAAGGAGCACCTCCCATTGATATCATGGTGGAGCAACAGATACTGGTGGAATATCAAAGGGTGTGTATATAGTTATCTTTTCATCAGTAACTGTTGGTTATGAATTAATGATTTTTCTGCAAAAGTTAATTATTGCTTTTTTATGAATTTCAGATGGTCAAAATTATTTTCAATGTACTATAGAAAAAGTATTAATTTCTTAATTGCAAAGCAAGATTAATATAACCTTGTAGAGAAAATTTCAAGAAGCAAATTAAATGTTGCTTTGCATTTATTTAATTGTGTTGGACTGTCCTGTTGAACTCTATCAATATGAACTAAATGGCCTTGGTGGCGGAGTGGTCTAAGAAGTTAATCTATTGTATTATTAGCCTGTCAACAGTTGTGAGTTCAAACCCTGCACATGGCAGGAACGTCCAATCTTAATTGACTAGGATTGCCAGTATTTCACCAAAGGTCAGTGTTTCTACCCTGGGACTCTGGCTTCCACCACTAGTAAAAACTGACTGCAACGATATAGCCGAAAGTGGCTTTAAACACCCAACAATCAATCAATATAAACTAGTCATAGGTGTGTGCATTAACACAAGAAAGTAGTCTAAATGAGTCAAGATATTGAAACCAAGACAATCTTTTAGAAATATCTACTGTCATCATAACTGTTAAACATCTAAGCCCTAAAATGACAAGAACATTGGAAAAACTGTTATAATGGCATCCATAACATTACTTTTAATGCAGTTTGTACCTGTATTAGTAATTCAACCAGAGTCAGGGTCAATTTAGAGCTTGACCTATTATACAAACAGTTGTTTATATCGTTGATCATTGTTTGTTGACCTTGAGATATCTGTTTAGTTTTGTATCATTGGTTTGCTCTCTGATTGAGGTTAACCCCACATCTTTTGTTATTCATATACATGTATATTGAATAGTATTTATTAATTTTCAATATATATTTATAAAATTCTGAAATCATGGTAATGCAATATCTTGAATAATTCATATGTATTTATTTTATATCTTTCAGTGATTCCAACAAGATAGAGTTTGGATTATGGGTGGTCAGATATGTTTGTACGATAAGTGTATTTATAATAGGACTTAAAGCACCTGGATTACCCAGAAGTGTCCATCAGTTATTGGTCAATGATGAAGATGCGGTGAGTTCTTGAAGGGATGTCACAGTGTATAAAAAATGACCTGGGACATACTCTGATAAATGGTGGCCAAACAAACTTTACATCCTGTATGTGCCTGTCCCAAGTCAGGAGCCTGTAATTCAGTGGTTGTCGTTTGTTGCTGTATATCATATTTGTTTTATGTTCATTATTTTGTACATAAATCAGGCAATTATTTTTCTCGTTTGAATTGTTTTACAATTGTCATTTTGGGGCCTTTTTTAGCAGACTATGCGGTATGGGTTTTACTCATTGTTGAAGGCCGTACAGTGACCTATAGTTGTTAATTTCGGTGTCATTTGGTCTCTTGTGGAGAGTGTCTCATTGGCAATCATACCACATCTTCTTATTTTTATATGTCCACCATGGAGGCCCTATATGTCCATCATTATACCACCGTTTTCTTAATAAATACACGAGGTATTAACAAATTGCCAGTCAAGGGTAAAAGGATGTTCTGATTACCTTTTAGTGATAATATGAATTGGCTTTCAGGTGAAGTGTCTTAGGTAAATGACTCTGGTAATGATGAAAATTTAAACTAGAGCCTGTGTCGCTCACCTGATTCTACTTTGGTTTTGGAAATAATGTAAAAATAGATTAAAATCATAACAGATACCCTAATAATGAGTAAAGCCAAATTTGGTTTAATATTGGTCCTGTAATTTTATAAAATATCCTGGTGGCCATCTTGAACAGTAAATTGGCAACAAAGTAGCAACACTTCATCAGCACCTCATAAGAAACATTTATGCCATGTTTGGTTTCATTCCATTCAGTGCACCTCTAGAAGAAGCATTTGTATGTATTTCCCATAGGGTTTTATGTTAAAGGAAGTCCCCCCGCTGGCGGCCATCGTGGAAGAAGGATAAGCTTCAAAGTAACAACACTTGGTCAGCACTTCATAGGGAACATTCATGTCATGTTTGGTTTCATTCCATTTAGTGATTCTCTAAAAGAAGACATCTGTATGTATTTCTCATAGGGTCCTATGTTAAACTAAGTCCCCTGCTGGCGGCCATCTTTGATTATGGATCGACTTCAAAGTAACAACACTTGGTCAGCACCTCATAAGAAACATTCATGCAATGTTTGGTTTCATTCTATTCAGTGGTTCTCTAAAAGAAGACATTTGTAAATATTCCCCATAGGGTCCTATGTTAAACTAAGTCCCCCGCTGGCGGCCATCTTGGATAATGGATCGGCTTCAAAGTAACAACACTTGGTCAGCACCTCAAAAGGAACATTCATGCCATGTTTGGTTTCATTCCATTCAGTGGTTCTCTAAGAGAAGACATTTGTATGTATTTCCCATAGGGTCCTATGTTAAACTAAGTCCCCTGCTGGCGGCCATCTTTGATTATGGATCAACTTCAAAGTAACAACACTTGGTCAGCACCTCATAAGGAACATTCATTTTGGGCCAGGTGAGCTAAAAAAGAAATAAAATAATACAACTAGTTGAAAATATAGTATGATATCTTCAATATAGAATAAAATTGAGAATGGAAACGGGCAATGTGTCAAAGAGACAACAACCTGACCAAAGAGCAGAAAACAGCCCAAGGCCACCAATAGGTCTTCAACACAGCGGAAAATCCCGCACCCAGAGCCGGGCTTCAGCTGGCCTAAAGAATAATGTATACTAGTTCAGCGAAAATGGACTTCACACTTAACTCTGTAACATATAAATGAAGCAAAATCGAAAAACACAAAACTAACAAAGGTCAGAGGTTCCTGATGTTCACTTGACAGATAACTGCCTGTCGGTATCAGTTATAATACATTTGAATTTTGTTTACGTAAGCTTACAAACTTATAAGTGGAATGTGAAAACACTACCATATCTCTCTCATTTTCAGATATTCTCATTGATATTAAGATAGTGTGTGTATAAGAAACAAAGTTACCCCAAAAAATGTTTGCCACAAAATATTGTGTACGAAGGTGTAATTTCAAGTTAAATATCTTTTTGGGTTAAGGCTAGCGCTGTTGCTCATATTTATTTTTGCAGGTTAGAGGTAACCAAGGACAGAAATCTACATGGTCAAATATCTTTTTATTTTTACAGGAAAAGGGTAACCAAGGACAGAAATCTACATGGTCAAATATCTTTTTATTTTTACAGGTTAGGGGTAACCAAGGCCAGGAATCTACATGGTCAAATGTGTTTAAGAAATTAAAGATCATGATTCCTTATGTGTGGCCAAAAGGAAGTTTATGGCGACAGAGTTTAGTGGTCTTATGTTTGATATCTCTGGGTATCGGCAGAGCTGTCAATGTTTTTGTTCCTATTTATAGCAAGTATATAGGTAAGCATATTTGGGTGTCTATTGATCAAGTGTTTGGGTATCTGCAGAGCTGTCAATGCTTTTGTCATTGATTTAGATCCAGTTTAATTTACTTCAAACGTTAATGCTACATTTAGCGCCATTTCATTTTACCATTGTTAACGTTACTATATCTTTTGTTAATGTTGTACTTTTATTATGTAATATGGTATTTATATATTGAGTTGAGATTACACAGTCAAACGAAATGGAGTTGTTTACTGCCTCTCCATACATTGAGTTTTCCCATTAGTCAGTTTTTGTTCCTATGTACACCTTTTGCCCAGATTTTTATTTAGTCAAATAGGTCACGTTTAACTTTGTTTGCTTTATTAACATCCTTACTTAAACATTCTTAATGGTTTATACAGCCTTTTTAGACTTGTATTAACTGGATTATTTATGTTTAAGCTATACCCATAATCATATACTTGGAGCAGTGAATGTTCAACAGTTCAATTGTCCAATAAAATCATTGCTTTGAACAACTGGCATTGTCCTCCTTTTTGAAATTGGAATGTCTTCTTTAACTAGTGACAGAAACACATACTAGATCACCTAATACACAGAACCGACATAATTCAAATTCTTTATAAAAATAAGATGTGGTATGATTGCCAATGAGACAACTATCCACCAAAGTTCAAATGAAGTTGATGTAAGCAATTATAGGCAACCGTACGGCCTTCAACAATGAGAAAAATCCATATGGTATGGTTGGCTTTAAAAGGCCCGACATGAAAAATATGAAACAATTCAATTGAGAAAACTAATTGCCTAATTTATAATAAACAAATTTACGAAAAAGAAATATGACAGACATGAACCAACGACAACCACTTAACTACAGGCTCCTGACTTGGGACAGGCACATAAAGAATGTGGCGGGGTTAAACATGTTTGTGAGCGCTCAACCCTCCCCCTAACCTGGGACAGTGGTGTAACAGTACAACATAAGAACAAACTATAAAAATCAGTTGAAAAAGGCTTAACTCATCAGATGGATACTAATAGAAATACATCTAACAAAAACACAGAGTGGACAGGTACTTGTACATCCCAAAAACAAAACGACACTTAGTACAGATATGGAATTATTTTATAGTTGTATATTGTGTTAAATTACTCTATTACCAAAACAGGAGGATTACAAAACTTGCCACTTTTCTACATTGAAAATGACTAACCTGTGGACCTCAAGGTCTACTGGTCTTGAAAAAGCATGGAGTACATATTAGCTTCAGACGCATGAAATTATTAAACGTGTTGTTTTCAATTTTTTACATCACTGGGTCGATACCCCTGCTGGTGGACTATCAGCCCCCGAGGGTATCATCAGCTCAGTAGTCAGTTCATCGGTACTGACATGATTTATAACAAACGTTTCTAAAATTGCCCGTTTATAAATTTTGAAATTATAAAGAAACTAAGGTTTCAACTCCCTCAGGCAAAGTTGACCTTAGATGGATTTGGCCATTTGTTTTAGGTATTTTTGTCATATAGCTCTTCAACTGTTTCGGTACTTATACATCCCTCGGATTTCAAATGTTTGGCTTTGAGCGTTCCTGATGAAGGTAAATCCAGAAAAGCGCTTCGGACGCATGAAATTAGTAAAGGTGTTGTTTTCAATATAAAGTTGTAATGAGGACCTCAGTATTACTTTGCAGTATATGATTTTAATGTACTTTTTATTTTGGTACCTTTTATACTATTCTTTTAGGGTAAACAAATCCTTGCATTCAAGAAATAATGGAAAGAAAAGATAGGACTGTTTTTCTTGGTATGCCTTATTTAATTGGTAAATTTTTTATTTCAGTTAACAGTTTAACAGTTGTGGTCCAGTCATCTGAGGACATTGCAGTGAAAAAAACTGGTCCAGAGTTTAGATGGGACTATATTCTTATCTATTGTGGTCTGAAGTTTTTATGTGGATCTGGTAGGTGATAAAATTTGGAAATTGAAATACCATTTATATAAATACATCAGATTTTACCTGACCAAGCTATTCAAACACAGATAGTAAGTAAATAGACAGGAAATCAAAATAGATATGCCTGAACTAATTTACCTAGTTCAAAGAGAAAGGGGTGACTTATGACAGTCATTGTATTGTTTCAGGAAAAAACTAATTAAAAACCTTGAAGGAAAATTAAATCATATGACAAAAATAAATATCCATATATTTTTACAAACTTCAAATAGAGTAATTTGTTTCAGCCTAACAATCAAACTTGGAAATAATAATGTATCCTGTTTTTTGTCTCACCTGCGACGAAAGCGAGACATAGGGATTGCTTTTCCGGCTCAGGCTCCAGCTCCAGCATCAACAATTGTTAAGTTTTCTGCTTAAGTTAGTTTGATAGGAACTACTTGTGATAGATCATTGATATTTTGTATGAAGTTACATTACTATCAGTACATATCAGTTTGACAACTATTTTGATGCCCTGCCTGCCCCCTAGGTCATGGTCCAGTGACTTTGAATTAATTAGCAATTTTCAATGTTAAGTTTTTCTGCTTAAGTTAAATTGAGAGGAACTACTTACAATAAACAACTATATTTTCTATAAAGTTATATTACTGTCTGTACATCTCAGATTGTCGACAATTTTCAGGCCCTGCCCACTAGATCATGGTCCAGTGACTGAATTAATAAGCAATCATGCTGTCCATCAGATCGTCTTTTTCTGAATTTTATGCTGATAGACGAGACATATCTCTGTGTCAACAGTTTAATTTTTTATTGTTTTTTTGTTCAATCCATTTTGTGTTTTTTTAAAGCAAATCAATAATGAATTTTGTATAGAATGAAACTAGACAGTATGTCATACCATTTATGGTCATGATTCTTGTAATTTATTTTCTTATTGAAATATATTTTGTGGCTTTTGTGAATGTTAAATCTTGTACAGCTTACATTGGAAATCAAGAAAATTTCACATAGAAATTTAGTAAATAAAACCCCAGGAAACAAGCACGGCAGATATTTTTTGTTTATATCTCAAAACAGCTTTAATTACTTTTGATGTTTATTATAAACCTTGTGTTTACAACTGTGAGAGAGGAATTTGTCTTGTCTTGTGCTTGCATTTTATTTTGTTGTTTTTAGCAACATCAGGGTTTTTGACAAACATGAGGTCATTTTTTTGGATACCAGTTCAGCAATACACTACAAGAAGAATATCTGTGAAATTGTTTAGTCACCTACACAAGTATGTACAACTTAGATATACATTAAGCCCTGCATTGATTTATGATAATAAAAATCTTACAAAGAAATGAATTCTCCACTCAAATGCTTACAATTGTTAGGAACTTTTAAGTATAGTACTGTGAATTTATTATTATTGTGGAGTTCGTGGGTATAGGTAATACTTGAGTTTTGATGTTGAACGAAGTACACCTTTTCTATAGATTTGTATGCAGATTTTGGCAAAACCATGAAATCAAATATCCATGAAAAAAAGTTTTCCTCAATCCACAAAAATAAATTAATCCACAGTTCTGTAAATTCAGAAATTTTTCGATTTTTGTTGAAAGGACAAAAATGCAATGTTAATTATTGCGATTTCAGGAAAATTTGTATGGAGTTATATGTATCCGATATCAGAATGTTCTTATTATTGCGATACTCACCCAGTCACATAATTTGCATTAATAAAAACCTCACAATAATTTCTGAATTTACAGTAAATAGTATGACTGAACACATTTTGGTGTATGGAATATTAAACAAAACGATTTCTAGTTGATTAAAAACTCATCCATCCATTTCATTTGATAGTATACCAATTTTAATTTCAGTTTTTCATTATAATAACCGAAACCATTTCAAGAGTTTATATAAATATTTTCCCTGTTACGAGTGACTAATGATAGTAGTTCATAAAGTTTTCATTATTGTCATCTTTGACTTATGTCATTGAGTATATTATACAAATTTAATTTTCAGTTTGTCATTAAGATGGCATCTATCAAGGAAAACCGGAGAAGTATTACGAGTGATGGACAGAGGTACAACTAGTATGAACAGCCTTCTAAGGTAAATATACACCAACCACATTCATTGGTTTATTACTTGTAACAGCAAAGTCTCAATACTGTTCTATACACATTTGCTAAAGATACCCATGGATTTTATCACTGATACTTATAAAGAACAGTGCTTATTAGAACTAGCAGGGTGACAAGATTTGCTCTTATAGAATTGAAATGGGACATCTATTGGTTTGACCATGTGTTTTTAAAACAATTTCAAAGAATTCTATACAAACAAAATGTCTTCCATTTATGTGTTGCGCTATTTATTTGAAAATTATGTATAGAAATGTCATGCTGTAACTGTTCAAATCTTAGTCTTTGTTCTATTGATAATTGTCTTATTCTTAATGATACTACATCTCCTTATTTTTATACTTATCACTTATTTACTGATTATTATTTACTGTTAATTCTACATTAAACTTTTTGTGTTAACTTGGGCACAAGCATACTTTCCACTTTCATTAGATGCATGCAAGATATATTTTTCGTCCTAAAGGTACATATTGGCCATGCTTTGAAACAAACATGTTTAACCCTGCCACATATTGTGTTTGCCTGTCAAGAGTCTGTAATTCAGTGGTTATTTTTGGTTGCTGTCTGTCAGTTTTTTTGTTTGTTCATTGTTTTGTCATTATTGAGTTATTGGTTTTCTCGCTTCAATTATTTTGCATTTTGCCATGTCAGGGCCTTTTATAGTACATTGTACAGTATGGGTTTTGCTCATTGTTAAGGCTGTGTGATGACACACAGTTGCTTACATCCTTATCATTTGTATTCTGTTGGATGGTTGTCTCATAGGCAATCATACCACTTTTTATAGTACTTAAGTTGTGTCTGATAAATCACTCCAGGGGGTATAATTTTCAGCTATGTTTTGTTCAACATTTTACCAACTAAAATTGATATAACAATTGCTGTGGAATATTTTGTAACCAGCTATATTTTTCTAATTTCAGCTATGTTTTGTTCAACATTTTACCAACTATAATTGATATAACAATTGCTGTGGTATATTTTATAACTGCCTTCAACTACATTTTTGGACTCCTTGTATTTCTTTGTATGGCCATGTATTTAGGTATGTTAATTTTTTACAACAAACATGAAGAAACATTAAAACAAAAATTACAGAATTTTTGTTATAACGCAGTCATTATGAGAATGATTTTTAGAATGGAATATTTTATAAACAAAAGTTACATCTTAAAGCAGTCCAATATTTTACAGTTTTATGTCAGGTTTTACATATCTTTAAAAGTCAAGTTAAAATCAGATTATTAGCAGAAACATTATTTCTACCATCAAATATTCTGCACACAATAATATCCCAATATTTCACATTAATAAATCATGTAAATTTCATGCATCTTTGTAAATTCCACAGGTCTTACAATATGGATAACAGAATGGAGAACTAAGTATCGCAGAGAAATGAATTTAATGGACAATCAAATAAATACAAAGGCTGTTGACTCCTTGCTCAACTTTGAAACGGTGAGACAAAAAAATGTCAGGTTATAGATTATTGACAATCAGAGAAATACAAAAACGTTTGACTCCTTACTTAACTTTGAAACGGTAATACAAAATATATCTGTTCTTAGATTACTGACAATCTGAGACATGAAAAAGCTTTCATACCTTGGCAAAAATTTGTTCATAAATTAATTACAATCAGAGAAATACCTAGGCATACATTTTTTCTTAGGTTAATGACAATCTGGGAAAGGCAGAAGCTTTCATACCTAGGCATACATTTGTTCTTAGATTACTGACAATCTGAAAAAGACAGAAGTTGTTGATTCATAACTCAACATTGAAACAATAAGAAAAATTACTTGAAAAGAGATGATAAGGTGAATCAAATCATGACACAAAATCACTATAATCACATGAACCAAAGGAGTTTTATTCAGGGCTTCCAAAATTATTTTTAGCTAGCCGGACATTTTATATATTATCCCGATTTTAATCCCTTAAGACTAAATAAACTAAAGGCAATTATGGTAATCAGTTGCCGAGTTGGCCATCCCAATGATTGACATTAAAAAAACCGATATTAAACTTTCTTTGATTCAAATTCGAAGTTCTGACGTAAACTGTTAAATTGGCAGTGCATCATTCGAAGTGTGCAACATCAGCGTACTTATATCGCCTTAGACTCTTTATTTGTGCAAAATAACGTTGTCGAAAACTTTACTTTCGTTTTTATACCGGATGTTATCTTGACAATGGTAAAACATGGACCAGAGACCAGGGCTTCCAAAATTTCCTGACGACAGCCGGACATTTTTCAAAGAAATATTTTTGACGGTCAATGATCAGCTGGATACTTAAATGTAACTGAGAGGATGCATAAATTGATATATGTGTCTAAATAATTAGTAGTGTTATATGCAATAAAATTATTTATAACTGTTTTGTTTTCTTCATTCTAAAAATAAATAAAATATTATCCTCGGTATTGTGTCATTTTTCTGTGTATCGTAATACAGTAACCATCATTGCATCAATCAGCTTCAGTACCTGACTGTTCTCATGTTTTTGTTTCTGTTTATATAATCTATCTTCTCTCTGTGAGTACTTAACACTTTGTAAATTAAGGCCATCTTATTTGAAACTGTTGATGTTGGCTTTAATTGCAGTACAACTTGATCATCAATACACGTGATACTTTTCTTTTTGTGTATTGATTACCTGACCACGTGACTTTTACAACTAATGCGGTATTTATAGATAACATTGAGGAGGCCCGATGAAGGATATTGTTTTAAACCGTGTAAAATCTACTGAACAGTGATAACATTTTTCTTTGTACAATTTCCCAACCTGATTTAGAAAATAAGGAATAAATAAAAACATACTCAGTTGATAAATAATTTAATGAATAACAACATGATACCTACCAAGCTTATCCTCATAAGTTGATCTAAAGCGTCAATACCTAGACTACACCTTAGTCGATCATAATTCCCACGGCAGGACTTAACTTCACGTCGGACATCACCTCTTTCTCTATAACATCGGAAATTGTCTGAATAAATTCGGAGCAGGCATTGTTCTCTTGATATAATTTAGAAGTGATCACAGCACCATTTAACTTAGTTAAATCATTTATTGACTGAAATTTGTCCATTGGTTTTTCCTATATATTTTAGTAAATTTTCCCCTTGAGAGTACCCCAGTATTTAACACGATGTACAGTGTTAAATAAAATAATATATATCATACTTATTCATTTATAAATATCCTTATTTGAAGAATAACTTTTAAATATCAGGATACTTTTAAAACTGAATGCTCATTTAAAATAATATCTATAAAGCGTAATTAAATAGGATGTTGTTCCATACACGCTTACATGTTTGACCTCGTTTACCGGATTACCTTTATGTACATTGTTATGCATCATTAATTCTATTGATAAAGATAAGCTAAGGACACCTCATCAAAGGTAACAAACCTGTAATCAGTGAATGATTTATGGCTTCAATGTAACTTATTGAAGGGATAATTGTTTGACAGCTTGTTGTTATTTAAATAAAAGAAAACGTGTTTTTTCTACTTTTTATTGATGTACACAAGCTAAAGACCAAGCCGTACATTTATGTACCCAGAGGATTAGACTAACTGAGACACTTCAAAGTATCTGAAATATGCTGCTTCTGTTTTATTAAACCCAATTATGACCGAAATATCTTTGTGAAATAGATTGCCACAATTATAAACTAAAATGCCCAAACGGACATGCCCAAAGCCCCAAACGGACATTTTTATCGATCGATAGTTGGTAAAAATTGAAATGACCGTTTCATGAAAATGCCTTGAATAACAAAATGTGGCACACCAATTCTATTTGACCGTTTGAGGCTGAGAGCAGACGGTCTTTTTATGAAAGTTTCGGTCAAGTCCGGAATATATGACCGTTTTGGAAGCCCTGCCAGAGACGGATACGTAAATTCCGTGTACGTTTGCAAAGCGTGAATGAGTGGAAGTAGCTCTTTCTACGTTATTTCTTCAAGAAAATATTCGAAATAAACGTGAGATAAAGGTATCAATGACAATTTAAGCATTTTTTGAAGAAATTAGGATGCATAATTAAATTTCACACCAGCGCACATGCGCACACGTGTACTAGTTCAAACAGAGACATGTCTCTAGGTTCAAACAACGTGGTTATGACGATTTTTCATTTTCACCTTTTTAATTTTTTCATCAAATCATATTTGTAAACGTATTTCTGATAATTTAAACCTTTTTGACTAAATTAATTAGATGCAAACTGCTGAAATGTAAGAAAATAACTTTGAATAGACCGATCAATGTCCGGTTCAAAATAGTTTACCTGTCACCTGAACAGGTAAATTTCAGCTGTTTGACAACTAATTAGCCTTGATTAAAATGAGAAGGTATTAAAGTAGGGGTTGTTTTGATAGTACTTAATGATCATGTCACTTTTATGACCGGAAATGTGTGGCTGTTAAAGGCAAAACGTTGGGTCTAAAAGATCGCGAATTGTGTTAAAATGACCGTCTCTTAAAGCCTTGAAAACTAAAAAGTAGATGACCGTTTCATGCTTTGCCCAGCCGGACTTTTACCGGACATTATACAAATGTCCGGCATATATGACCGTATTGGAAGCCTTGGTTTTATTTCTGTTCTTCATCTCAAAGTCAAATTGAGACCTTCAAGAAGGAGGACAAACTCTCATCTCAGTTACAAAAATTAGTTATGAGATAACTTTAGACAGAGAAAGAAAACAATCTATTTCAACTATGAGACAGTTGAACAAAAAACATAAGCTTATAGAATCAACTGAGAAACCAGAGAAAACAAAAACTTATAGAATCAACTGAGAAACCAGAGAAAACAAAAACTCTCAACTCAACTTTGAAATGTTGACCAGGAAAAATATAAATAAACTACATGAAATAAGATAAGGAGACAACAACTCAAAAACACAAACATAGCATAGAAGGCATCTATGTGTAACACATATAGTCCTAAATACCATTCATTGTAATGTACTTTTGTATGGAATGAGATGTTGAGATTTTTTTTCTTCTTAAGGTAAAATATTACGGAGCCTCAGAGTTTGAGACCAACAGATACGATGATGCCATACTGAAATATCAAGTAGGTTCAGAAATAAAATGAATTATTTACACCATTTAACTGATTTCTTACAAACATCCAGGTTACTGTACCTTAGATTAACACGAATTTTCCATGGAGAATTTAAATTTCAGTAGTTCAATATATTTTTCAAGGCACTTACATAACCAAAATAGACGAGTTATGAGAAAATTGGTTAAAGATGAATGGAATATGCTGTAATTGTCATTCCATATCAATGTGATGGATGTAAATGTATAATTAGTTACATATTGTGCTAGTGACCTAATACGATATATATGGCGTCAGTAAATTCCATATGGGGTGAGAGCGAAGCTCAAATCCCCATATGGAATTTACTGACCCCATATATATAGTATTAGGTCACTAGCACACTGTCTACGAATTTATCTTACTGACTATCTTAACATGTGGTATTTAGACTAGTGGCCTATCAAGGTGATCAAGTCTTCAATACTTAGTATTAAGAACCTACTTCCATTGGTCTATACAAAAACAAATGCCAACAATAACAACTTGTTAGCTTTGAATGTGTTTTATGAATTTATTTCAATCAATCATCATCAATTTCTTCGTCTGTTGAAACCTTCAGATTTTTCCTCAACACCGTGTTGTTTTTACAAAGGGATGTAACACCACTACTAACCGTGTATTGAAATAAACCACGCATACTTACCCCATATGAAATATACACGGTCTCCACACAGTTGCTTTTAACCAATCATATTCCTAGAAATGTATAGGAGGTAAGATAAACACGTATATGGTAATTGAATGATGGAATGACAGGTGCTGGTACCACTCTATGCCTTAGTAGCAAGGGTATCAACAAAAATTTGATAGGAGGGTAAAATGCTTCAAATTAACAACATGATTATGTGAATTTACAATCTATTTGATTGAAAATATTTAAGATACCTGAATTTTATTTTCTGAAATTATATAATAGCACATCTATGAAAATAGAATTTGCCCCAATATAAAGAAATACCTGCAGAACAAAGAGTAAATCTGTCAGATTTCTATTTTTGATGATTGCTGCAAAGTATACTATGCCCAACTCTGTGTTTAAACCGTTTTATTTTTTTTGGCAGAAAGCAGAATGGAAATCTATGGCCACATTAAACGTGTTAAACACTCTACAGAACCTCGTGATAACAATGTCTACAGTGGCAGGCTGTCTGCTGTGTGCCTGGGCCGTGGTCCATAGTCTCAGTAACCTACACCTAACTGTTGGGGACTATGTGTTGTTTGGTACTTATCTCATGCAATTGTATGGACCTTTAAATTGGTTAGGAACCTATTACAGGTCAGTATTTGTTTCATAAACCATTCCTATGGAATTATTCTGCAATCTGAATAAATGAAAATGTATGGTTAATATCAAAGGGACAGCAACCCTATGGCCTTTGTCTATGCATTCATTAATATTCTGCATCATTTTCACTACAGATTTAAGAAAGAAGTATAGTCAATGAGGCTCAAATATGGCCTTTATTTCTAGCTTAACTTTTGTCCCCTGTGCAACGTGTTGCGGGAGACATAGAAATACCAGGTATCTGTCTGTCCAGTCTTGTTAGCGCTCTCACATGTACAATTTTTGCCAGATTTTTATAAAACTTATATCATAGGTTTATAACAGCATTGTCTCGGACAAGTTTGAAAATAAGTGCAGATCAACAATTTTCAAAAGAGTTATGCCCTTGGAAATATTAATGATTTTGAGCGCTCTCATGTGTACAATTCTTGCAAGATTTTTATGAAACATAGGAAGAAAGAAAAGAAGTTAGCAGTATCCTTTAACTTCAGTTTCAGCTATATAGATGATGTTCTCTCACTAAATAAATCTCATCGAACTTGAGATAAAGGATTCAACAGATACAGTTAAGTCTGCCTCATATCTTGACTTACATCTAGAATTTGACAATGAGGATCGTTTGAAAACAAAACTTTACGACAAAAGAGATGATTTCAGCTACCCCATTGTGAACTTTCCATTTCTATGTAGCAACATTCCATCAGCGCTTGCATACGAAATATATACTCCCAGTTGATACGATATTTCAGGTCTTGTATTTCCTATCATGATTTCCTTGATAGAGGGTTGCTGCTTACAAGGAAGCTATTAAACCAAGAGTTCAAAGTGATGAAGTTGAAATCATTCATTCGTAAATTATACGGACACCATCATGAGTTGGTTGACCGTTTTGGAATATCCATTTCAGAGACGACAACGGATATGTTCCAATTGTTGTAACTACAATCCCTTCCCCTTTTCCCTGAATGTGACCTACCGAATTAGGCTTATCACTAGGTTTTTACTAACATAAGCAACATGATGAGTGCCACATGTGAAGCCGGATCTGCTTACCCTTCCGGAGCACCTGAGATCACTCCCAGTTTTTGGTGGGGCTCAAGTCGCTCAGTCTTTAGTTTTCTATGTTGTGTTTTGTGCACTGTTGTTTGTATGTTTGTCTTTTTCTTTTTTAGCCATGGCGTTGTCAGTTTATTTTTGACTTATGAGTCTGAATGTCCCTTTGGTATCTTTTGTCTCTCTTTTATATCATAGGTTTATATCAGCAATGTCTCGGACAATTCTGAAAATCAGTGCCAATCATCAATTTTTAAAAAGATTTATGCCCCTTGGAAATATCAATTATATGGAAAATTGTATTGTTAGTGCTTTTCATGTGTACAATTCTTGCCAGATTTTTTTGGAAATTATATCATAGGCTTATATCAGCAATGTTTTGGACAAGTACGAAAATCAGTGCTAATCAACAATTTTTATACGACCGTAAAATAATTTTGCGCTCATATATTGGTATGATGCTGGCGTCGTCGTCGTCGTTGTCCAAAGACACATTGGTTTTCGCACTCTAACTTTAGTTTAAGTCAATGGATCTCTATGAAATTTTACCATAAGGTTCAATATCACAAAAGGAAGGTTGGGATAGATTTTGGGGGTTATGGTACCAACAGTTAAGGAATTAGGGGCCAAAAAGGGGAAAAAATAAGCATTTTTGTAACTTCCAGACATAACTTGTGTGTTAGTGTATGGATCTCTCTGACATTGTACCACAAGGTTCCATATCACAAAGGGAATGCTGGGATTGATTTTGGGGGTAATTGCCTCAAAATTTTAGGAATTAGGGGCCAAAAAAGGGGCAAAAAACAAGCATTTTTCTAGTTTCATGACAATAACTTGTGTGTAAGTGTATGGATCTTTCTGAAATTGTACTACAAGGTTCCATATCACAAAGGGAAAGCTGGGTTTGAGTTTGGGGGTAACTGCCCTAAACGTTTAGGAAAAAGGGGCCAAAAAACAAGCATTTTTCTAAGTTTCCAGACAATAACTTGTGTTCAAGTGTATGGATCTCTCTGAAATTGTACTGCAAGGTACCATACCACAAAGGGAAGGCTGGGATTGAGTTTGGGGGCGATGAATCATAAGGGGGTTCAAAAAATTGGGGGGGGGGATTTTTTTTTCCTTTTTTTTTCTTTTTTTTTCTTTAAAATTTTCCATTTTAAATTGGTTATTTCTGATTTATATATAAAAGCAAATAATAATGATATGGTTTGAATAGGTAAATTAAAATTTTTTTAAGTTCTTAGACCACATTCATTCTGTGTCAGAAACCTATGCTGTGTCAAATATTTAATCACAATCCAAATTCAGAGCTGTATCAAGCTTGAAAGTTGTGTCCATACTTGCCCCAACTGTTCAGGGTTCGACCTCTGCAGTTGTATCAAGCTGCGCCCAGCGGAGCATTTTATTAATAGTTATGTCCCTTAGAAATATTAATTATATGGAAAATTGCATTGTAAGCGCTCTCAAGTGTACAAATTTTTTGCCAGATTTTTATCAAATTTATATCAAAGGTTTATATCAGCAATGTCTTGGACAATTTTAAAAAATTAATGCAGATCAAATATTTACAAAAGAGTTATGACCCTTGGAAATATTAATTTTATCAGAAATTGCTTTGCATTTGCTCTCAAGCCTTCATTTCTCTAAGATATTTATAAAAAATTTAAAGAACAAAAAAGTTTTTTTGTTAGTTATTGCCCTTGGACAGATAAAATATGTGCAACGAAGGGGACATTGAAACTATGTCCTTTTATTAAATTAGGATTTAATGGCAATTATCATAATATACCATACTTTTAACAAATGACTAGATAGGATATGTTTTTAATCATGCTTCTGAGCCACTGTACCTTTGCCCATTGTGTACGAATTAATTTAAGTATGCATTTGTACTTTATGTCATCAATTTGTATTTGTGTTATATGTCTTACATTTACACTTTATTTATCAGAATGATACAACAGTCTTTCGTTGACATGGAAAATATGTTTGATCTTCTCGATGAAAGCCAAGAGGTAATGCATTAATAATTATTCTCATTACAAAATACTTAAACTAAAAATTACACACTATTAAAACTTCAGAATTTGTTTTTAACACAAATGGCAAATTTTATTTTGTTTAAGCTTTCTTGAGTGTGAGATTTGCTATTTTTTTCTACATCATTCACTAACATCAGCTTGATATTCAATTGGCCATCATGTTATTTGAAAAAAACTTTTATTTGACTGAACATACACCATATGGTTAAGCAATAGTAACAATTAGGGTTTTGTATTCTGGGTACAAATAAAAGATTCTAAGTATGCCACAATTAGCAACATGTTCCTAGAGATTCACTGGTTTGTCCTCTTCATTGATTAACTGTCACAGTTTTTGCCAGGTATAAGAATGTTAAAAAGTATACATTTTCTAATTCCAGGTCACAGATATTAAAGATGCAAGGGATATTGTTTTAAAAAATGGAGAAATACAGTTTAAAAATGTCGACTTCTATTATGATCCAAGGTAATAATAAGAACAAAATAACCAGTAGATATGACTATTTCTCTTTAAACACACAAGTCTTGAGATTAATTAACAGTTGTACAATAAATTTTAATTTATCTACATTTATCTAGTTTATTTAGTTCTGTACCCTCCCTTTTCATTTTGTTCTCTCTCATCTGATTAAAAAAGGATTCAAATATTGAAAAAAACTTTACCTTTTAAAACAGGCAACAAAAACAGAACTTTACCTTTTAAAACAGGTAACAAAAACAGAACTTTACATATTAAAACAGGTAACAAAAACAGAACTTTACCTATTAAAACAGGCAACAAAAACAGAACTTTACCTATTACAGGTAACAAAAACAGACCTTTACCTATTAAAACAGGCAACAAAAACAGAACTTTACCTATTAAAACAGGCAACAAAAACAGAACTTTACCTATTAAAACAGGTAACAAAAACAGAACTTTACCTATTAAAACAGGCAACAAAAACAGAACTTTACCTATTAAAACAGGTAACAAAAACAGAACTTTACCTATTAAAACAGGCAACAAAAACAGAACTTTGTCTGTTAATAACTAGCAACAAAATACTAGATTTATCAAAGATGGTTGTTGTGTTTTAATTGTATCTTCTCAATCTCATTTGTTGTGGAAGAGCAAGGGACAGGTTTGGAGGTTTATATTGTTTCTTACATTAACTGAGCTTTTGTTAATATTTTAACTTCTATTTTCTTTTCAGTAAACAGATTTTGAAGAGTATAAATTTTACTGTTCCTGCTGGTCAGACCTATGCTCTGGTAAGACAAAGCTTTAAATATGTAAGGTATACAATTTTCAGTGAATGTTTTGGCCTTAGATTAAATAAATTGCATTGTTTTTGTAAACAAAAATTAACTTTCTTTAAGGCTAATATTCAATTTAGCAATTTTTCATTAGTGATTTAAAAAAGTATTATATTGTGTATGACTCAGCTTGCCAGTAACTCAGGACAAAACATCTGAAGAAATAACAAAAGAGTAGTTCAATATTTCAATACATGTTCCTAGACAAGGATATCAATCAGCATATATTTTTATGTCTATTAGTGTAACAAAACTCATCATTTTGTCCTGAATGATAAGTATTTCTGAATGCTTATAGAAAAGAAAATGTATGTGTTATGTGAAGCCTGGTTACCTGCTCACTGTTCCATGTTAAACCAAGGTAATCCCATTCACATGGGAAACTAAACTTCCCGATTAGTGATGAAAGTTGGTTGAACAAATTCTTTCATGCCTGGCCCTACCAGTGCAAAGTAGAGCATTATCTCATACTAGGTTCGATCTGATACAAAATATTACAAATATAGAGACTAAAGACAAGGCAAGTGAAGGTTTGAAAGGTTGTAGGATGATCATCAAAACTAAGTCCTCAACTCATACTGTAAAGAGATGTAAACAAGTATACATAAATTCAAGTGACATAGACATACATTTGGTGAATAAAACTGCCAAAATTCTGTTTTACAGCAAAATCGGTTTTAAAGTCAATTATCTTTATGCAGATACTTAACATAACACATTATAAATTTAGTGGGTTAGAAGCACTTTTATGGAAAGCACTTCATCACAAATCCTTAAATCTAAAATTTGAAAGCCAAGGATGTATATGAATACAGGAAGAGCTACATGACCAAAGTGGTTTATTTATTTTTAGGGAACATTATTTACTTGTTTCAGGTTGGACATTCTGGGAGTGGTAAGAGTACAATAATTAGGTTGTTATTCAGATTTTATGATGTCACTGGTGGTCAAATAATAATAGATGGACAGGATATATCCAAGGTAGGTATATAACTTGAATTGATGTTTAAAGAGTACTTTGTTTGTCAGAGCATTTACTAAAAGTTACAAGAATATCTGAAGAAAAAAAACAGGCTGTATATGTTCATATTAAACTAAGATAATTCATTATCCTGCTGACTTTAAACATTATTTGTATCGTTGATTGATTTTTACCATTTTTAAAGATTGGTAAATTCTATGCTCCTATTAATATTTAACAAAAAGTTCTAACAAACCTGATTACTGAATCTGAAAAAAAGAGAGAAAAAATGAAAGTTCTTTTATACAGATTTTTATACGCCCGTTTACGGGACGTATTATGGTATACCTCTGTCCGTCCGTCCGTCTGTCCGTCCGTCTGTCTATCGTCAACATGTCGGACATTAACTCAAAAACGCTTTAACCAATTTGCATAAAACTATGGTGAATTGTTTATATCTATTGACGTGAGCTCCCTTTCTTTTTTTATAAAATTTAGATTTTACGTTTCCGAGTTATGGGGTTTTATTCATTAAAAAAAGGGGGATTTTCCAGTTTTCGGACAATAAGTCAAGAAGTTTTTCACCAACTTGCAAGAAATTGTGGTGAATTGTTTATATCTATTGACATGAGCTCCCTTTTGATTTTTATAAATTTTAGATTTTACTTTTCCAAGTTACAGGGTTTTATTCATAAAAAAGGAGGGATTTTCCAGTTTTCGGATAAAAACTCCAAAATGCTTTCAGCAATTCTTATGAAACTTTGGTGAATTGTTTGTATGTATTGATGTAAGCTCCCTTTATTTATAATGAATTACACTGAATGTTAGGGAAACACCAAAAATCAATCTAATGAATCATGGAGTTCATGCTCTATCATGAAAAGAGGGATAGTAATGAAGAGAAGGAAAGGTTGGATGTAAAATATTTTCAAACCCTACAAGACTTAAATGTATTCTACATTTTAGGTGAAACAAGAATCTTTACGACAACAGATAGGTGTGGTACCACAAGATACAGTTTTATTTAACGATGATATAAGATACAATATACGATATTCAAAGTTTACAGCAACTGATGAAGAAGTAGATAATGCAGCAGATGTGGCTGATATACATCAAAGGATTCTTACGTTTCCTAAAAGTAAGTAGAGGGTGTAATACGGCAGCAAATGTGGCTGATATGCATCAATGGATTCGAACGTTTCCTAAAAGTGAGTAGAGGGAGCCACAGGGCAGCAGATGTGGCTGATATACATTAAAGGGTTTGTACATTTCCTTAAAGTGAGTAGAGGGTGCGACAGGGCAGCAAATGTGGCTGATACACATCAAAGGATTCTTACGTTTCCTAAAAGTAAGTAGAGGGAGCCACAGGGCAGCAAATGTGGCTGATATACATCAAAGGATTCTTACTTTTCCTAAAAGTGAGTAGAGGGTGCCACAGGGCAGCAGATGTGGCTGATATACATCAAAGGATTATAACGTTTCCTAAAAGTAAGTAGAGGGTGCCACAGGGCAGCAAATGTGGCTGATATACATCAAAGGATTCTTACTTTTCCTAAAAGTGAGTAGAGGGTGCCACAGGGCAGCAGATGTGGCTTATATACATCAAAGGATTTTAACGTTTCCTAAAAGTAAGTAGAGGGTGCCACAGGGCAGCAAATGTGGCTGATATACATCAAAGGATTCTTACGTTTCCTAAAAGTGAGTAGAGGGTGCCACAGGGCAGCAAATGTGGCTGATATCCATAAAAGGATTCTTAGGTTTCCTAAAAGTAAGTAGGTTGCCACAGAGCAGCAGATGTGGCTGATATACATCAAAGGATTTTAATGTTTCCTTAAAGTAAGTAGAAGGAGCCACAGGGCAGCAAATGTGGCTGATATCCATAAAAGTATTCTTACATTTCCTAAAAGTAAGTAGAGGGTGCCACAGGGCAGCAGATGTGGCTGATATACATCAAATGATTTGAATGTTTCCTAAAAGCAAATAGGGTGCCACAGTGCAACAGATGTGGATGATATACATCAAAGGATTTTAACGTTTCCTAAAAGTAAGTAGAGGGAGCCACAGGGCAGCAGATGTGGCTGATATACGTCAAAGGATTTTTACGTTTCCTAAAAGTAAGTGGAGGGAGCCACAGGGCAGCAAATGTGTCTGATATACATCAAAGGATTCTTACGTTTCCTAAAAGTAAGTAGAGGGTGCCACAGGGCACCAGATGTGGCTGATATACATCAAAGGATTCTTAGGTTTCCTAAAAGTAAGTAGAAGGAGCCACAAGGCAGAAATTAGCAGGTAGTAGATGTTGCTGATATAGTTGCATAGGGTTTGTACATTTCGTAAAAGTGAGTAGAGGGTGCGACAGGGCAGCAAATGTGGCTGATACACATCAAAGTATTCTTACGTTTCCTAAAAGTAAGTAGAGGGAGCCACAGGGCAGCAAATGTAGCTGATATACATCAAAGGATTCTTACTTTTCCTAAAAGTGAGTAGAGGGTGCCACAGGGCAGCAGATGTGGCTAATATACATCAAAGGATTTTAATGTTTCCTAAAAGTAAGTAGAGGGAGCCACAGGGCAGCAGATGTGGCTGATATACATCAAAGGATTATAAAGTTTCCTAAAAGTAAGTAGAGGGAGCCACAGGGCAGCAAATGTGGCTGATATACATCAAAGGATTATAAAGTTTCCTAAAAGTAAGTAGAGGGAGCCACAGGGCAGCAGATGTGGCTAATATACATCAAAGGATTTTAATGTTTCCTAAAAGTAAGTAGAGGGAGCCACAGGGCAGCAAATGTGGCTGATATACATCAAAGGATTCTTACGTTTCCTAAAAGTAAGTAGAGGGTGCCACAGGGCAGCAGATGTGGCTGATATACATCAAAGGATTCTGACATTTCCTAAAAGTAAGTAGAAGGAGCCACAAGGCATAAATTAGCAGGTAGTAGATGTGGCTGATATGTAACATAGGGTTTGTACATTTCCTTAAAGTGAGTAGAGGGTGCGATAGGGCAGCAAATGTGGCTGATACACATCAAAGGATTCTTACGTTTCCTAAAAGTAAGTAGAGGGTGCCACAGGGCAGCAGTTGTGGCTAATATACATCAAAGGATTATAAAGTTTCCTAAAAGTAAGTAGAGGGAGCCACAGGGCAGCAGATGTGGCTAATATACATCAAAGGATTTTAATGTTTCCTAAAAGTAAGTAGAGGGAGCCACAGGGCAGCAAATGTGGCTGATATACATCAAAGGATTCTTACGTTTCCTAAAAGTAAGTAGAGGGTGCCACAGGGCAGCAGATGTGGCTGATATACATCAAAGGATTCTGACATTTCCTAAAAGTAAGTAGAAGGAGCCACAAGGCATAAATTAGCAGGTAGTAGATGTGGCTGATATGTAACATAGGGTTTGTACATTTCCTTAAAGTGAGTAGAGGGTGCGATAGGGCAGCAAATGTGGCTGATACACATCAAAGGATTCTTACGTTTCCTAAAAGTAAGTAGAGGGTGCCACAGGGCAGCAGTTGTGGCTAATATACATCAAAGGATTTTTACGTTTCCTAAAAGTGAGTAGAGGGTGCCACAGGGCAGCAGATGTGGCTAATATACATCAAAGGATTTTAACGTTTCCTAAAAGTAAGTAGAGGGTGCCACAGGGCAGCAGATGTGGCTGATATACATCAAAGGATTCTTACGTTTCCTAAAAGTGAGTAGAGGGTGCCACAGGGCAGCAAATGTGGCTGATATCCATAAAAGGATTCTTAGGTTTCCTAAAAGTAAGTAGGGTGCCACAGGGCAGCAGATGTGGCTGATATACATCAAAGGATTTTAAAGTTTCCTAAAAGTAAGTAGAGGGTACCACAGGGCAGCAGATGTGGCTGATATACATCAAAGGATTTTAACGTTTCATAAAAGTAAGTAGAAGGAGCCATAGGGCAGCAAATGTGGCTGATATCCATAAAAGGATTCTTACATTTCCTAAAAGTAAGTAGAGGGTGCCACAGGGCAGCAGATGTGGCTGATATACATCAAAGGATTATAAAGTTTCCTAAAAGTAAGTAGAGGGTGCCACAGGGCAGCAGATGTTGCTAATATACATCAAAGGATTTTAACGTTTCCTAAAAGTAAGTAGAGGGAGCCACAGGGCAGCAGATGTGGCTGATATACGTCAAAGGATTTTTATGTCTCCTAAAAGTAAGTAGAGGGAGCCACAGGGCAGCAAATGTGGCTGATATACATTAAAGGATTCTTACGTTTCCTAAAAGTAAGTAGAGGGTGCCACAGGGCAGCAGATGTGGCTGATATACATCAAAGGATTTTAACGTTTCCTAAAAGTAAGTAGAAGGAGCCACAGGGCAGCAAATGTGGCTGATATCCATAAAAGGATTCTTACATTTCCTAAAAGTAAGTAGAGGGTGCCACAGGGCAGCAGATGTGGCTGATATACATCAAAGGATTATAAAGTTTCCTAAAAGTAAGTAGAGGGAGCCACAGGGCAGCAGATGTGGCTAATATACATCAAAGGATTTTAACGTTTCCTAAAAGTAAGTAGAGGGAGCCACAGGGCAGCAGATGTGGCTGATATACGTCAAAGGATTTTTATGTCTCCTAAAAGTAAGTAGAGGGAGCCACAGGGCAGCAAATGTGGCTGATATACATAAAAGGATTCTTACGTTTCCTAAAAGTAAGTAGAGGGTGCCACAGGGCAGCAGATGTGGCTGATATACATCAAAGGATTCTTATGTTTCCTAAAAGTAAGTAGAAGGAGCCACAAGGCAGAAATTAGCAGGTAGTAGATGTGGCTGATATGTAACATAGGATTCTGACATTTAGTAAAAGTAAGTAGAAAGGGCCACAGGGCAGAAAGTAAAGGGCAGCATATGTGGCTGATATATAACAAAGGATTCTAACATTTCTAAGAGTAAGTAGAGGGAGCCATATGGCAGGAATGAGTGGACAGTAGGTTTTTGGAAAAGGGATGGGCTCCCTAGTTAGCAAACATTTGGACTGATAGTTGACAGAAAAAAGTGGTACATTTTAAAAAAAAATGTAATAACCATTGAAATAATTGATTTTATGGAATTTCATAAGCTCTTTTTTGTTTATAAATATGTCGGGGCAAAGAATTATTCTCTTTATTGTCTTTTTATTAAGGGTTTCTGCTAAAGATTTTATTTTAAATGATTCCACTTATTGCATAGTGTTCTTTCTTTTTAGAATATGAAACTGTAGTTGGTGAAAGAGGATTAAAATTAAGTGGTGGAGAGAAACAAAGAGTAGCAATAGCAAGAACAATTTTAAAATCTCCTGCTATAGTATTAATGGATGAGGTATATTTAATAGCCATAATAGTATAAAAATATATCTTTATACTATCTGTTCATTATACAACTGCAAACAAAGTTTTAAGTGGGGCGGGGAGAAGGTTTAAAATCATCCTGTCCATCTGTCTGCCTGTCTGTCATTATGCAGTGTAAGTGCTACTCCTAAATGGCTAGACCTAAAAGGATGAAGCTTTATACAGTTACAGAGCCACTACCTGATGATGTGTGAAAAGGAATCTAAACCCTACATGTTAAAGGGGAGACAATCAAACTTACTTAAGGAATATAATCTAAACCCTACATGTTAAAGGGGAGACAATTAAACTTACTTAATTAAGGAATATAATCTAAACCCTACATATTAAAGGGGAGACAATCAAACTTACTTAATTAAGGAATATAATCTAAACCCAACATGTTAAAGGGGAGACAATCAAACTTACTTACTTAAGGAATATAATCTAAACCCTACATGTTAAAGGGGAGACAATCAACATTACTTACTTAAGGAATATAATCTAAACCCTACATGTTAAAGGGGAGACAATCAAACTTACTTACTTAAGGAATATGATCTAAACCCTACATGTTAAAGGGGAGACAATCAAACTTACTTAAGGAATATAATCTAAACCCTACATGTTAAAGGGGAGACAATCAAACTTACTTACTTAAGGAATATAATCTAAACCCTACATGTTAAAGGGGAGACAGTCAAACTTACTTAAGGAATATAATCTAAACCCTACATGTTAAAGGGGAGACAATCAAACTTACTTAATTAAGGAATATAATCTAAACCCTACATGTTAAAGGGGAGACAATCAAACTTACTATAGTGTCATTAGTCTATGTTGTATTCACAGAAAATCTCACTGCTGCCACCATTTGAAGCACCCATCTAGAAAGTAAAGAATTTTTTGTTCATAGAAAATAAAGATATCTGAAAAGGAAGCAAAACAGTATTCAAAATGTTCAAATATTGTTTAAAAAATAATAATTCTAATATGAAGTGCTGCTTTCACTTTGTAAACAACAGTGTGATAAAATTCTCAATATATCTATATTAAGCGTAGACTCACAGATGTGAATATTTATGGCTGTTACAGTTTACCTCCCAGATAAATCAACATGTATCAGTTCCTATGTGCAAACACTATGTTGATTTTGCGGAGATAACATTGAAATTAAAAAAAAACAATACAGTACTGTTATTCCTATATATTCTAATACATAAGAAAAAGAAATAATGTATGAAATTGAAATAAAATAAAATTCTGCAAAATTACATGAATGATCTTGGTGCATTTACACATCAAAACATGACGTCATACAAATAAAAACTTTCAAGCTACAAAGGTTATTCCATTACTTGCTCTAAATTTGGAAAATATCATTAAATTGGAGTTTTGTTGCAGGTGTTGTGTCATTTCCTATTTTATTGCATTATTTGCACATTTATGAATTTCAGCAAGTCAATATGGCGGCTCACTTTTTAGTCACAACATGTCAACTGTTGATTTGACAGTTAATAGTAGCCAACGAAAAAAAAAAAAAAAAAAAAATAGGATAGAACAAAATCATCTTCTGTGTTCCTTATTTGATATGCAAAAATGTATTTTGTCACAAATTATTACTTTTGAAAACATATTTTTGCTTTTTAGCTTGTTTCTTCTCTGAATCCATAATTTACTTGGAGAAAGAGATGGAACTGAAATTTGTAAATGCTTATCCAAAGCTGTACAAAATTTTCATATGAATTTTTCCATTCAGTGACCTGAAATAATGTGATTAAAACAAAAAATGTCCATATATTTCAGGCTACATCAGCATTAGATACTAAAACTGAAAGAAATATACAGACAGCTTTAGAAAGAGTATGTGAAAACAGGTCTACAATTATAGTAGCTCATAGACTTTCTACAATTATACATGCACATAGAATTCTAGTTTTACAGGAAGGAGAGATTGTAGAACAAGGGAGGTAAGTACTACATATTTTTATAGAATTGAACAAAAATGGGGGACTAACCAAGGCTGATCAAAGGTATTTTCTTATAATGACTATCCTCATTGCCAAAAAACTTTATTTGATAATAAATTTGTGCATGCATTTATAATTGCAGTTATTGAACACTGGATAAAATTGTGAGATTGATTATTAAGATTTTAGGGAACTATCATTATAAGAAATGTTTTTGTTATAATTTCCTTTAGCCTATGTGGCTTCTACCATAAATGGAAATGTTAAAAGTTTTGACAACAATATTTATGTTGCTAGACAAAGTTCTATTTATGTTGCTAGGCAAAGTTCTGCACGAAGGTTGGCAGATCTGTTACTTATAACTTTATATTTTTTCAGTCATGAAGAGTTACTGACAGCTAATGGACTTTACAGTGAAATGTGGTCAGAACAGCAGACTAAAAAGGAGGATATAGATAATTCATCACTTAATGGTACTGTTGAGAACAAGGATAGTTGATAAACCATGCATTGGAATTAACATTTAATCTTGTGTTGTACATGAAATATTGAGAATTATTTATATTACCAGGTATCCTGAAAGGAAGAAAGATTTTGTACATTTTTTCCAGTCATTTTCAACTTTCCTGTCATTCCATTATGATTCTTTTGTCTTTTTGTAATGAAGGGTATACATATATTATTATGATACCCCCCTCCCTCCCCAATCCAAAACAGGGAGGAATACAAAGATTGTGCATATGTTGTTATGTCATGGGCATAAAATGACTGTAAGTTGTTAAGTGGTAATGTTTTGTTGTATGCAGTCATCAAAGACTGTATCTTAAAAAGACTTGTCTATTAACTTCTTATGTATAATCATGTTTCAAAGGGAGTATCTAGTTGCTGCATTTAAATTTGAAAATGACTGTTTTGTAATTATTTCCCTTTGACATTATCCTTAGGGTAAAGATTTTGGTCCACTATATTCAATATTGACTTGAGAAATATTTCTTATACAATTACAAAACCCATTGGAAATATGCTTGTACATTTGATTAGTCCTCTGATGCGTGATACATGTAACTAAAGTCTTCATGTTTTTTTTGTTATTTGAAGAATTTGGTGCTGACTGGAAATTTGATAGTTTCACAAGTTTTTGAGACTTTTGGAAATTTAGAGTAAGACCTATTGTATAGACACCTATTTTAGATTGCATGTTCACTTCTAGATATCTTTTGGTTTTGTTATTTGGTTGTTCTCTCAATGGAGAATATTCAGCCCCGGTGTTGGTGGGGTTTGTGTTGCTCAGACATAAGTTTTCTATGTTGTGTTTTGTATACTGTTGTTTGTCTTTTGGTCTTTTTGTCCCTATGTAACGCGTTGCAGGGGACATGGAAATACCATGTGTCCGTCCGTCCCGTCTTGTTAGCGCTCTCACAGGTACAATTCTTGCAAGATTTTTAAAAAACTTATACTTTATGTTAATATCAGCAATATCTCGAACAAGTTCTATAATGGTGGCCGATTGACTTTTTTTTAAAAAGAGTAATGCCCCTTGGAAATATTAAATTTATGGAAAATGGCCTTGTTAGTGCTCTCACAGGTACAACTCTTGTCAGATTTTTATAAAACTTATACTATAGGTTAATATCAGCAATATCTCAGACAACTTTTATAATGGTGGACGATCAACTTTTTTTTAAAAGAGTTATGCTCCTTGGAAATATTAAAGGAGTAGGTCCGGTAAGGGCCGATTTTGGCCTAAAATTTCAGGTTCATCTGATGTAAGATTTTGAACACTTTTTAAAGACTTAAGTGTCTATTTTAGTAGATTCAATTAGTTTATGTGAAAGATTTGAACTGATTAGGTCATTCAAGACGCTCAAATTCAAGCTGAAATATAAAAAATCTATCAAATATGCCATAATATGTCACTTTTCAGGAGGTTTTTGTCAAAAATGAAAGTGGCCACATATGTGTTCATTCTTAAACTTTATATATGTTATGTATTATCATCAAATACAACTTACATTTAAATATTAAGAATGAACACAAATGTGGCCACTTCCATTTAAGACTGAAACCGTCTAAAAATTAACTCAAATGCTAAAATTGTGAAGATTTCAGTAATTTAGCATGACTTAATGATGCTAGTACCCGATACATGTGCATTGTATTGTCAAAAACAGTCCATATTTATGTAACAGAAGTATTCTACTTTCCAATAAATAGCTAAAAGTTTACATTTTATCAATTTTGTAAAACTGCTATATTTTGGGGCCAATAAGAGGTCTTACTGGACCTACTCCTTTATGGAAAATGGCCTTGTTAGTGCTCTCACAAGTACAATTCTTGCCAGATTTTTATAAAACTTATACTATAGGTTAATATCAGCAATATCTCAGACAAGTTCTATAATGGTGGATGGTCAACTTTTTTTAAAAGAGTTATGCCCCATGGAAATATAAAATATGTGCAACGTGGGGGAAATTGGAACTCTGTTCTTTTATTCTTTTTATTTGCCTTGGCATTGTCAGTTTATTTTTGACATATGAGTTTGAATGTCCCTTTGGTATCTTTAGCCTGTCTTCCACATCACCTATTATATATGTTTATTTTGTAAAAAAGTACATTTATGAATGTTGTTGTTACTTTCAGATCTTTCAAATTTTTATAATTATATTTCTACTATACTGTGGATTCTTTTAATTTTGTGTGTACTACCTTTCGTGAATTGAGTAAAAATGTATTTTTGTGGATTTGCCAAAGTCTGCATACAAGCCTATACAATAATTCACACTTCGTTGAACATTCAAATTCATGGTCTACCTATCCCCACAAAATTAACTAAAATTGGTACCCGATCACTAATAATGAATCCACAGTATCTGGTTATTATCTCCATCCGTCCTTCAGTCTGTCTGGCCATCCTCTGAAACTTTTGTTATTCCCAGGAACCACAAACCAGATCTTCCTGAAATTTGGTGTCAATCTTCATGTGAGCATACTTAACTGTACGATGCATGTCAATCTTCATGTGAGCATACTTAACTGTGCGATGCATGTCAATCTTCATGTGAGCATACTTAACTGTGTGATACATTTTAAGATTCATCACTCAACAAGTTCCTATGTTCTTACACATAATATGAAATTACAACAATTGCTCATCAACTTTCTGTTTACGGAATACTTACAGCTGAGGTAACTTGTTTTTTCTGAAGCATGATGATGAACTGACATTTAGCTTTTGTAGACCTCCTTTTATTGTGATAGAATTAATACATCAAGAGTCCAAGTAAAATTGATAAGATTTTACACAGACTTGGTGCACTATATTGTGTTGTACACTTTCTACTTTAAAGTAATTATGAATAACTATTTATGATTATGATAAGGACCTTGTAATGTGTAGTCTGACGTTAGAATTTTGCACTAGGAAATTTCATATCGCTATAAATATGAAAGTATGACCAAATTTGACAACAGGTCATATGTCATCCTGTTTAGAATAACAAGTGATAGAACTGTGTAATTTATGGTATTTTTATACTAGAATGATATGTATGTTTTTTTTTTTATTTCAAGTTTTTAACCGGATTTTCGAAGGAAATATCGGTTATTAAAATGGTAATATACGGCAGGCGGCTGAGCGGCTCTGGCGGCTGCCAAACAGCGTCCGCACAATAACATGAAAACGCTTTAACAATTTTTTTCAAATTTAAATATGTTGTTTCCTGGGACTTAATGAAGGTCTCTATTAATTTTCAAGATTTAGTATATCTCCTTTGTGAGTTATCTTCATTTTTAATATCCAAAAGTAGAATTTTTAAATATTTTACTGTTGTTATCTTTATATGATTTGTCTTATCTCAGAATAAAAATTGGAGTGACAGATTTATTTGAAAATTATCTATTTCCTAAGTGGTAATGATTATAAGCTATATCATTAGACATTTTGAAGATTATTGCATTATTGATTATGTTAGAGTACTATGTTAAACAACAATAGTTCTGTTCAATTAGATATTATAAATATTTCAGCATATGATAATGATTTATTTTCATTATTAATTAGATCTTTGAAATATTTTAGCATATGATAATCATTGGAGTGACAGATTTATTTGAAAATTTACTGTTTTCTGATTGAAATATAGGGGAAGTCCATTGGGGTAAGGGATCATAGATTTATTCTTACGAGGAAGCTCGGAGCATGCTCGGAGGATGCTCGGAACTTTTTAAGTAGGCTCTTCTCAGCAGTTTATGTGACAATAATTATCATGATCTATTAAGATGTCAATCAAATCTATAGCACTTCTATAATAAGGAAAGTAAAGCATTATAGAGGAAGCTCAATTAACACCTGTGTAAACATCTGGTTTATTCAAATACATTTTGCATGAAATTTACAAAACTATAAAATAGATTAGAAATTCTTCAACAGTACTGGGAAATGCTTGGAAAGAAATGTCGTCTCCACAAAAAGTAAAAGTCATTAAAATATTTTCTTATTATATTGAATAACCATTCTTTTTTAATAATAAAAAAAATTCTTAAATTTTATAATTAGATTATATAATTTAGATATAGTTTATACTATATAATATGCTACATAAAAGTCATCAAGGCACAAACAACAGTCAGGGGGCGATACTAAACAAGTAATTTTTTTTTTAGTTACTTATAATTTTTTTCGTTTTTAAAAATTATTTAATAACTCAATAGTTATTTTAAATGTCAATAGTAGCATGGACTAAATGTAGTTTTTAAGAATTTTATATAATTTTATTAAATAAAATGAAGTATTTATCAAATGTGAGATGAGTATAGAGATAAAAGGTTACTTTAAAAATGAGGACAAAATTATTACTTTTATAAATTATTTTATACATCTTTGAAAAACTTAGCACTTATAATTATTTATGGAACATATGTTATTGTTTTAGATTACACATTATAAATAACTTCAAGTCTTAATAAAATCACAAGGTTCCATCTATTTATATTTGTCTACCATTAAGATTTTAAAGGAAAATGGTATTTTAATAGTCCCAAGAGGACAATCTTTGACCCAGAAGCGTGGCTCAGAAAGTCAATTAGTGTTTCAGGAGGATTAGTTTTATATTTCATGGGAAAAATAACCAGATGTCTGTGAAAATTTGTTAAAGCTATTAAAACCTGTATGAATGGACACATATAAAAATAATATTAAAATAAGTTACTTATACATGAAATAGAAGTAATATATGATATAGCATCGTTTTTAACATAAATTGCATAGGTAATTTTGAAAATAATTGTTTAAGTAATGCCCCTAACTAAACAATGGTAATATGTTTTTTTTTATATATATAAAATAGCAAACTTAGTTCTTTTATAAAAAATTATGGCTACTTTAGGAAAAGTTGTAATTCATTATTGGAAGGCTGGTTTGAGGGGGTAATATCACCATTGTTTTTCCCCTAGTACGTCTCTGTTTAATTGACTTTTTTTTTAATTGTGTAGAATTCATCTTTGTTTTAAATAAAGAGATATTTGGCATGAGTAAAGTTTTATCCTGTCAATTACTGCAGGGAAAATTTAACATAAAATTGTTTTTCCCCCATAAGTCTTTGTTTAATTTGCCTTTTTTTTTTATTAAATGTGATGAATTTATCTATGTTTTAAATAAAGAAATACTCTACATGAGTGAAGTTTTATCCTGTCCAGTACTACAGTGAAAATACAACATAACTTTTCATTGCAGATAAGATATTAAACGTCACCAGAAGTTAACCAGTCAAATTCCTCTCCCCCTTTTTTTCCCTGTTTACCAGCTTTAGTAGCAATGTCCCCTTAAATTTCCAAAATATTTTATAGCAACACCAATAGAATTTTTTATTGCTTTGAAACACCCAAGATACATGTTAACGACCAAAAAAAAAACTTTCTGCAATGAAATGCAGGGTTAATTTCCAACAACTGTCAAATTAAATGGAATATAAAAAAAAATCAACCATTTCTGGCTTGAAACTGAATGTACTATATTTTGGTGGTATTACACCTGAAAGAATTTTGACAATATAACGGAGTAAAATAAATGGATTTTAGTTCAGCAATCCTTTATTTCCTTTTCTCAAATGACTTTTTAATATATATAAACAACTTCTATCAAAAGGAAAGTAAAGCAATGTAGAGGAAGCTCAGTTAACGCCTGTATGTAGAAAGTCTTTTCATATAGGCCTTTATCAGTACATACTATCAATATAAAACAGATCCTAAAAATATAAATATATATACTAAAAAAATTTTCTATAAGATTCAAACTAGTTATTTTTTTTTCTTTTTAGCTTTCATGAGTATAATTATAAAAAAAAAAAACATAAATCAAAGTTAGTAAGAATTTCAGGCATAATTATGTTCATTAGTATAGGACATTGTGGCAGTTGTTTGGAGTTGAATTAATTATTTTTTGCTTGTTTTATGTTATTTAATATTCAATTCATACAAGTAAAATATGATCACACAATTTAAAAGTAAATATTGATACAAGTCACTCTGCAGTCTGTCCAATAATACTGTTTAGAAATCTGTGAAGGCGCAAAACATTATTATAAAAGGTTTATATCACAGCATGATACATTATATAAACATTATAGTTTGAGGGAATAACCCATTTTACAGTTTCAGTAGGGATAATTATCTTAGAGCATCCTCTTTTATGCTCCATATTAAATATTTTGTTAATATTAAAATGCTGTATGCTGTTAAATAAAAAACATCTTCAACAATAATAATTGATTCCAATTTTAAATACAGTTATAAAAAAATAAGATAGAAACAGATGATATTGGATTATTTTATATATGGTAAATAAATAATAATTTAACCCCTAAACTAAAGTGGTATAGTCGTGACTACCTATTGTCATGTTCCTACAGTCATGAGAGTCGTATGCTGAATCAAAAATGCTTTTAAGCAAACCAAATTGAACTATTACTATACATCTTTAAATATTTGTAAGTGAGGGACCTAGAATATATGTCAAGTCTGCAAATTATTCAAGAAAATTGCCTGTTCTCTAGGCCTCAAACACTAAAACTTCTAAATTCCATTTTCCTAACTTGAAATAAATTATTACAAGAATTTTTAACTGCAGTTATAATACATAGTATAAAATAACAGTATGTTTTAAACTGGTATTCAATTGACTTAAAGCATTAGGGTAATGAATCAAAATTCTAAATTTTAAGCAGACAGCAAAATAGATTGTGTAAATGACTTCTCAATTTTATGATGATTTGCTCTTCTGTTCACATTTATAAATAGAGAAAGGAGGTTTATATGAAATGGAAATCTTGCAATTATCATTCAGGGATATCAAATGTAATTATGACTTTCTGCATTTTGATTAAGCTTAAAAGAGATACTAGAAAAAAAAAGTTGACATTTTTTATACAAATCAATGTAATGAAGAAGTAGAATTTAAAATAAAAGACAAAAGGGATTCCAGAACAAAGTATAATTTTTTGTTGTAAAGTTTTTGATCCACTGAATCCATTTAATTATCATAAAAACAAAATCAAAAAATTTATTCAAGAAATAGATATAGAGGATTGCTGAAGTAAAATCAATTTATCATAATTATTATATTGTGAACAGTCTTTCAACCCAGCCTGTGAATTACAACTTTTTCCCAAAGTAGCCATCATTTTCTATTAAAGAACTAAAGTTTGCTGTTGCATATAAAGTTTAACAAATGATTATAAATCTACTACCATAGTTTTTGTCTTTGGTGACTTTTATGTTTAATTTTATGTAGTATAAATTTAATTAAGCTATATTTATATTTTAAATATAAAATTTGAGTATTTTTTTTTGTATTGAAAAAGAATGATTATAAATAAGAAAATATTTTAAAAACATTATCTTCCTGTGAAGACTTGATATTTCTTGCCAAGCATTGTACAGTACTATTGAAGAATTTCTTATCTATTTTATAGTTTTGTAAAATTTCATTCAAGATTTATTTGAATAGACCAGATGTTTACACAGGTGTTAATTGAGCTTCCTCTATAATGCTCTATCTTCCTTATTATAGAAGTGCTATAGATTTGATTGACATCTTAATGGATCATGATAATTAT